TAGGATATTTTGGCCCTGCCAACACCTTGATATTAGGCTTCCGGTCTCCGGGACTTAGAATCAATATATTTCTGTTGATCAAAGCTTGTGGTATTTTGTTATGGAGACCTGTCCTAGGGGTCACCAAAAAAAGAGCAGTGCTCCCTACTCTCCCCTCCCTTGATCTGGAGATAGCACCTTTGCTGATGATGTCCCATGAGGTTTGTGGCCATCACAGCATAGGCTGCAGCTTCCCACAAATGATCGACTGAGCACCTGCCATCCCTGAAACCTGTTCTTCTGGAACTGCTATTAAATGATGCTCTTGGGCAAGTGACTTTTTTTAGACTCAATGATGGGCTCATTATGTTTCCCAAGGGCAAGCACTGCATCTCAAGTCACATCTGTATCTGCATTCCCTGCCCACCACCCGACCCCACAGCCTGTCCAGTGCAGGGCTTGCCTCACCCCCGATGCCTGCAAGGCATCTGCCAATAAGATGCTCTAGAATACACAGAACCCCAGTAGCTACATGATTCTGTCCTCTAAAACCTTCTCATTCCCTAATGGGATACTTGTTGGTCCAACCCTGGTGGCTTTTTCCTGAGAGCCTGCGTTTCACTTGCTACAAGAAATGGAGAGAATGCAGCGGACTCTATGATGAGAGGCCTCCGCATTTCCCCTGGGCCATCTAGCTGTCCACTCCACCCTCCATGGGTGACACTACCCTCCGCCCTGGTGACCTGGAGCTCCAACAATGCTCCCAGAGGGTCTAAGACCCACCATGGTGACCCACAGCCCATCCCTAACCCCAGCCTCACGATTCTGGAGAGTGGGGGGATCCGAGAAGCCCAGGAGCCAAAGGCTGCGACGCCACCCAGCAGATAGCCCAGGATTTCAGTATTGTCCTGTGGGAACAGGTGATACACTCAGCACCCTGAGGAGACCACCATGCATCCCAGACCCACCCTTTTCTGCTTTTTAGTAGATTCCTCCCAAGAAGGACACATCCTAACCCTGCCCCCCCACCGCATGCACACATCTGGGGCATTTGTTGGGACCGTGAGGAGGGAAGGGACCTGCACTCCCCCGTGTCGTCCCCCCTGACTGCCAGCTGGCTCAGTCTTACCTGCAGCAAACTTTCCAGCAGCTTCCGCTGAGGCCCTTGGATGGGGCCTGAAGCCTTTGGGACAGTGGCCCAGAGAACCCAGCCTGGGCCCAGACTCAGGGGCAAGGCCAGGGCAAATATGCTGGCCCTGAGTTGCCGCCTCCTCTTCCTCTCCTGGGATCCCTGAACTGCAACAAACACCAAAGTCCCATATGGCTCCTGGGATCTGGAGGAACCTGACAGACAGCTGCTGGGGAAGAACTGGTATCGACTCAGCTCCAGTGCCAAACCAGGTTGCCATGCTGTTCTGTAGACCAGACTCCCCCTACCCTTCAAGGCCCTGTGGTTGTGTGACCCCCGCTTCCGCCATGACTGGCGCTCTTCTCCTTCCTCGGCCCTGTTCTAGCATTTTATGTTTCAAGGCGGGGTGCTGTTACCCTTTACATAAGTATCTGTGCATATACAGCATCGCCTCTCCTGGAATGGAACCCCCCACAGGCAGGCACTGTGCCCTGGCAGTTTCTACAATCTCCTCAGAGCCTGGCATGGAGCCGAACGACCAGCTTGGTGAATGCACCAGTGCGTGAACACGTTTGTGCCAGGGCACCAATACTGTGAGCGGGACAAGAGCACCATCTTTGAAAGTCTCCTTGAACTGTCAGACCTCTAGAGCCTCCTCTGGACAATCTTGATAAGAACATTTCTCCTCTGGGAAGCACTGAGCAGCTGAGGGCATCTTATATTAGCCCACTGATGCAAGCATTCCCTTTTTGGACAGGGGTCCAAGCACATTGCTGCCCTTTCTCAAGAATGGCCCAGTCCCACATACTCAACGACTCATCCCATCTCAGTCACCTCCAGCCCTCACTCTGTCCTAGGTGGCCCATGCCTATTCCTGGCATCCATTTCAAGAAGCCGTGGGGCTTTGTTTGGCCACCCCAGACTTGCGCACTGAGATCATCTCACAGAGCCATGCACTGTCCCTTTTCTTGGCCTTTGCCCACATTGTTCTTTTCCCCTGGAATCCCCTAACTGGTTCCAGTTCCAAGCTCACATCCTTTCCTGACACCTGCAGCCCCTTCCATCCCTCTGGTTGCCCACGGTATGCATGCACCTCCTCACTAATAGCTCTGTCTCCCTCCTCTGGGTGAGGTCAGGGAGCTCGTTCATTCATCTGTGCCTGGCAGGGGCCCAGCTTGGCGGGGACAAGGAGTGGGCACTCAGCACGCTGCTGAGTAGATGAATGAAGACAGGAACAGATGGCCACACACTCACCCAAATTAGACTTGAATTTGGAGCCACAGACTGGAAAGAGAATGAACACAAAGTTCACCAAGTCGACAGCTGCTAGGTAGGCACCAGTGAAAACCTGGGAGCAAATGGAAATAGTGTTGTTCAAACATTTTCAGCACCTCTCACCCTGGATCTCCTCTACCATATGTTTCACTAATGTAGTTCTTCCAGGGACACTTCCCAATCCCAAGAAAGATCAAGATCACCTCCATTTGACTGATGAGGCGATGGGGTGCTTAAATGACTAATCTCTGGTAAAGAAGCTGCCCATCAGTAGAGATGGGACAGGAACCCAACCCTCTACTTCCTCCTCCACGCTCTCTCCACTGCATGGTGTAATCTCTGCTGTTTAACTTTGGCCCAGTCATGACCTTCTCTGGGCCTCGGTTTCCTCATCTGTAAAACAGGGGTAATAACGGTGTCTCCCTCACTGTTAAGCAGATTACATGAGCCAATACATGGAAAGTGCTTAGATCAGCACCTAGAGAAAGTAAAAGCACCCACCTATAAATGCACTAGCTACTAGGACCGTGTGATTAGGGTTAAGAGCATGCGTTCTGGGGTTTGAATGCTGGTACTGCTACATACTAGAGGGTGGCCTTAGAGAAGTTATTTAACATCTCTACGCGCCTCAGTTTCCACATGTGTAAAACAGGGAAAATGAGAGCATTTATGTCACAAGATGATTTGAGGATTAGATGCATTAATACAGGAAAAGCTCTTAGTGTCAAGTACATAGTTAAGTATTTAATAAATGTCAGCTATTATTATTAGACTCTTGATATTCTATCAGTTAATGAAAATGGGTACCCAAAATGAAAGGTTACCTGTTTTTGAGACACCACTGTTCAAAGCAGGGTCTAGAATTTTCCCAATCTGTGTCCCGAACATTAGGCTGCTGTCTCTCATGTCTACCTGGGTGGGCACAAGGCCAAGACCAGCCGAATGAGGCAGGTGGCCCCGGAATGGGGCCTACAGGTTTTCCTTGGGATACGTGTTTCGGGATAGGCCCCTCCTACACAGGTTTGTTTGAGAGCCTAGGCTTTGAGAAAACTTAAAACTGCTCCTCATTCACCCCAAAGCCTTCATTGCCACTTGGAAAAAAATTCAGACACCACTGCATGAGATGGAACTGGGCCTCAGGCTTTAAAAACGATAGCAGCAACAATCACGATTTATTGAGCATCTACTATGTGCCAGCTGCTGTTTTAAGCAATGGAGATACAGTAGTGAATATAAATTCTTGCCTTGTGGAGCTAACATTCTAGTAGGGGTTAAATACAATAAGCAATAAACATACTAAGCAAAGTAAATGGTGTATTAGGGAGTAAACTATGGGAAAAAAGCAGGCTGAGGTGGTCTAGAGCATCTATGGTGGAAGTAAACGGGTTGTCAGGGGAGGACATACTGAGAAGGTGGCTTTTGAGCAGAATTAGTTGCCTAAAGGAGGTGAGCAGTGAGCCATGTGGCTATTGGGGCAAGAGCATGAGAGTTGGGCAGAAAGACCAGCAAAAGCACAGGCACCAAGGCGAACTGTGGGAAGCAAGATAGAAGCCTATGGGGCTGACGCACCTGGATGGTAAGCTGTCTGGCCAGAATTGCCCCGACCGTGTCACACAGGCTGGTCAGGAGGCAGCATGCAGCACAGAGCGCCGACTGGTCCTGTCCAGATTTCTTTGCACATCTCAGGTAGAGAAGCCTGTAGTGACAGACAGGGGTGTGGACGAAACACGTGAGTTTGGCTTCCCAAAGGAGGTATTTGAAAAGGGCAATTGTGACTGTGTGTCCCTATGAAGCACTTTCTCCCCCAAGTTTTTGGTGAGTGTTTTTGAACTTAGTTTACAGATGGGAAAAGAAAGGATCAGAAGGCTCCTGGCCTGAGGCAAAAGCCAGACCCACCTGTCTGATGAAGAGAAACTTCTTCTCTTCTACAAATTTGGTCTACTCAAGTTCTTGACCACCTTTCAGTGCTGACAAACTAGCTGTCAGTTTTCATAGTATGAAAGGAAACAGGAAGGTTATAAAGTAACCCAATTCCTGCAGTTTACTGTAGAGCAGAATTAGTTGCCTAAATTTTAAAAAGCAACTTGTTTCTTTGAAATTAGAGAGACCCTTCTAATCCATTTTTGTAATGGGGTGGCCAGGCTTCTGCTGGCCCACATCAAAGTCAGTTTCATTTTGGGTGCACGTTCTCTACACACGAGAAGAGCATAACTCCTTGAAGATGCCATGGAACTTTGGGAGGACCTCCCCTTAGCGCCCCCCACTGCTGGCTGGCTTCTCTCCCTTACCGCCCTCCCCTACTTTCCAGACACCCAGGAACAAGCTCAGAAAGGCAGACAATGCCAGGAGGGGCCAGAGGCTGTCAGCTTTGCTGACTAGATCTCAGACATACTCTGTTCTAGATGTTTCCCTGCTACATTTCTATGGAGAAAGCAAGACACAATTGCAGCTATGGTTGTGTTTCCTTTAACCACAGGGTGGTACTCACTCTACATAGTTAGGACTGCTTGGCTGGTCCTGAGCATCAGCCCTCAGGAATAATGGGTGAGGATGGAAAGCTATTGAGTTCTCAAACATTCCCTGACCTGCCAGAGGAAGCTTAAAGTTCAGAGTAGGGCCCTGGGCTCCTGAAACTGATTCAAAGCCTAGGAGAGAAGACTCTAAGTTAGGGACTCTCTGAGTAGGACCCAGATTAGAAACTGTCCCCTTAGAAAGCAGAGAAAGCTGAGGCTTATGGTGAGAGTTAATAGTGGGCCTTCTGGCTTCACGTGTGGAAGCTTGACTGTGAACCCTGTTGTTGAGCCATTTCCCAGCTCTCAGGGGGTCAAGGATGCCAGGCTGACCCTAATCCGAAAGACAAATGGAGGTTCAGAGATGGCGAAGCCCTGAAAACAAACGGTGTGTCCAGATCTACAGCAGGGTGAGAAAGCAGAGGTCCTGCTCTCAGACCGGGCATCCTCGAGACAGTTACTTATCCTCTCAATCCTTGGTTTCTAGGTTGGTAAAATGTCTACTGATGCAGACCTCGCAGGGTAGCTGTGAGGAACAAATGAGAGAACGCATGTAGAGGGTCTCATTTTCCATCCTCTGGTCTGGTAAGTTTAATCCTCACAAGCCTGTCCTTTCTGATAGGATGTGGGTTCTGGCTCTATTCATTCAAGCAAGTTAATTAACCTCTCAGAACTTTGACTTCCTGATCTAAATAGGGTAATAACAGCCCCAACCTCCTGGAGTTGTGGCAGGGATTAGAGTTAATAAATGCAACACTAGGCCCATTACTATGTTCTAAGTGTCTTTATTCCTATTCCAGTGACTGGGTAGCCAGGCTGCAGAATTTCTGAAAAACCGCGGAACGCCTGAAGGGAATATCGAGTGCTTATGGTGAGCTGGCGCCACCCTCTCTTGGGATTGCTAATCCTTTCTTGGGATTGCTAATCCTTTCTCGGGATTGCTAATCCTTTCTCCTCCGCCGGGTAATACTTGGGTGGCAGCATCCTTCCAAGCTTGAGAATGGGTGGCTGATGACCTAGAGGCCTTCTTTAGCCAGACTTAGCCCTTAGAATCCAGGTTATGGTGACCATCTGGCCAAACTGCTCCAGGTGCTGGACAGACTAGGGCAAATTCTATGGGCAAATTCTATGGCCAAAGTCAAGCCATCCCTTCGCCATTTCCCAGCTAAGAGAGTCTTGGGAAACTGAGGCAAGAAACACCAAGACCTGTCCAAGGTCCTTGCCCTCTGCCAAGGGTTGGTGACAGCGCTGGAGCAATAATAATGGTGTTTAATATCACCTACTAAGCGCTTTACTGGTACCAACTCACTTAATCCTCCCTTCCTTCCTGTCCTATGAGTTATCATCCCCATTTACACGAGGGAAATGAGGCCCAGAGGTTTCATGGCTTGCCCAGCTCACACCGCGAGTCATAGGGAAAGGCTGACAACAGAACCCAGGACTTGCGGTTTCCAGGTCGGGGCCCTGCGCACTGCACCACCCAGCGTCCTCCTGCTGGCCCAGAGCCCAGCCTCCCTGTGTGTGGAATCCGGAAAAAAGTATCCGACTTCAGTCTACAGAGAAACGTTAGTTTCAATCCTGGAACTCTGCTGCCTTCTGCAGCCTCCCTTTCTGCTCTCTTCCTTCTAGGTTTCCAAGAGGGAGTTAGCTGGGGCGACGGGGCGGGGAGGAGCGCCCCATTCCCCCCGCGGCCGACCCTCCCCAACCCCGGCGCCGCTAGGTCGCGGTCCCCATTACAGCGTGTGGGCGGCGATCCAGCAGGAGGAGGCGCAGATCCACAGGCCGAAGGAGATGCAGACGCGGTGGCGGGCGAAGCAGCGGTCCAGGTAGCCCCAGTCCCACAGCGCGGGCGCGGGATCGGGGGTGGGCGCCTCCTCCATGGCAGGCAGGCTCAGCTCGGAGGG